CATCCATGGTACGACCCTGAACATGTCCAGGGCGTCATGGAAAATGATGCTTTCAAACTTCTCTGGTTTAGGCTAATATACAGCCTCAGAAGAATTCCAGCCAACAAACCTGATCTTGTCCTTTTTGATAAAGCCAATGAATTTATTTATATCATTGAATTTTCTGTCCCTTTTGACACCAATGTGATTGGCAAGATTCAGGAAAAGCATGATAAATATGCGGACCTCGCCTTTGAAATGTCTCGCTTGCATCCCAAGTACACTGTCGTCAGGCTCCCCATTGTTCTCGGTGCCCTTGGTTTGGTACTTCCTCATCTCTTGGCGCAGATCAGGAGAGTGCCCGGGTTCTCCACCGGGAGTACAGCCCTTCTGACACTCTGGGTAATGCAGAAGGCTGCAGTGTTGGGGAGCCTTCATATTCTCCGGAAAGTTCTTGGTGGGTTCGACTAGGCAGCGTTTCCTGGGAGAAGTCCCATTCGCTGTCTGCCATGGGCTGCGTGTAGAAGGGGCAAGGGCCCTGAGCTGATGATGAGCCTTACCAGCCTGACTGTGCCAGGATCACCCGAACCCTCTCTGATGCATACTATCTTTAATCTGTAAAACATAATAAAAATAAAAATAATACGTCATTTTTACGTCTCTACAAGGTTAAAGTTATTTGATCCTAACATATTGATGTTGTCCTAACGTACAATTTAACGTTAATATACTAGCCACATAAAGAAACTGTGCATTGTCAAAATATTATCCCAGTTGAGAAGTACGATAACAATGTCAAAGGTACATATAAACTTTAATGGAGGGATCATGAGACCATAACAAGTCGGGAGAATTTCAATTGAAAAGTCAAGCACGATGACGTCACGAGTCCACAAGCGGGACAGGGGTCAAACGACCATGTCACAAGCTCAATAACGGGTATGTCCACCATCGGCATTGAGAACAGCAGTGCCTCGACGACGCATAGAGCCTATCAAACGTGCAAGGAAGGCTTGTGGGATGTCACGCCAGATTCTCTCAAGTTCTGTTGCAAGATCAAGGACGTTATCTGGCGGATGAGGAAGACGGCGTAGACGTCGGACCATCTCGTCCCAAACATGCTCTATCGGGGAGAGATCCGGTGAATTTGCAGGCCAAGGCAGTAAGTCAACGTTGTGGTGTTGCAAGAAATCCATAGCAACCCTTGCCGTATGAAGGCGGGCATTGTCCTGTTGGAATGTTAACCCAGGGCCATGACGTTGCAGAAAAGTAATTGCCACAGCTCGAAGAATCTGATCCCTGTAGCCCGCACCAGTTAAGTTGCCCTGAACAATCACCAAAGGAGTTCTTTGGCGTGCTGTTATTCCGGCCCAAATCATCACGGAACCACCACCAAAGCGATTCGTCTCCAAGACACAGGCCTGTGAATAACGTTCTCCCACGCGTCTATAGGCACGTTGACGTCCATCACTATGGGGAATGTTAAACCTGGACTCATCTGTAAAAACAACAATTCTCCACCAAAACAAGGGTCTGGCGGACATGATTTCGGCACCACATTCGGCGAGCTTGTCGATGACGTTGTGTCAGGATAGGCCGTATGGCGGGACGTCGTGGTCTGATCCCGTGATGACGTAAACGTTGTCGAACTGTGTTGGGGTGGATACGGCGAAGTACTGGGATGGTTCGGGCAGTCATCACTGCAGTCTGAAACCTGTGGCGAAGATGGGTCACCCTTATCCATATGTCCTGTCTTGGCGTTGTTACACGTGGACGTCCAGAACGTGGCTTATCGATGACGTCATTTGTGTTCTGGTAGCGTCTCACCAGTGCAGAAATGGTGTTCCGGTGGACAATGGAAATGTGCAGCCACTTGTCGTTGAGACATTCCCCGCCAATGGCCTCATAACGTTGTGCTGACGTGAGCCTTGGCATGCTATGCGTTTCAATAGACGTTTAATTTTTTGAACGATCGCAAGGGCAGGGGTTGATCTAGCTTTCCAAAGTGACAGTATTATGTGGCATTCATTTGCTCTGTTTCTCTTTCCCGGAATGCACGTGCAACAACGTATCGCACGTCTCAAGGACGAACCCACTGACGTCACGGAACGTGGCACGTGCATGCATGTTGGATACATGTCACTTATGTGTCCTTATGTGTCTACACAGGTTTGATAAATTTAGATTTTAATTTTTTGTATGCACAGTTTCTTTATGTGCCTAGTATAGTTGAATAGTTTTCCCAGTAGTGAACAGTACTTAAGAAACTACGGAAGCGTAGTAGGGCCACGGTGAAAATTTGTTTTGGTCTTACTATCTCCTACGTAGTACTTAATATCTCCTACGTAGGACTTAGTATCTCCTACGTATGACATAGTATCTCCTACGTAGGACTTAGTATCTCCTACGTAGGACTTATTATCTCCTACGTAGGACTTAATATCTCCTACGTAGGACTTAGTATCTCATACGTAGGTATTAGTATCTCCTACGTAGGACTTAATGTCTCCTACGTAGGACCTAATATCTCTTACGTAGGACTTAATATCTCCTACGTAGGACTTAATATCTCCTTCGTAGGACTTAGTATCTCCTAAGTGGGTATCTAAGATAACTACGTCCAACGTAGGAGATAGAATGTCCTACGTAGGAGATACTATGTCTTACGTAGGACTTAGTATCTCCTACGTCGGACATAGTTATCTTAGATACCCACTTAGGAGATACTAAGTCCTACGTAGGAGATATTAAGTCCTACGTAAGAGATACTAAGTCCTACGTAGGAGATACTAAGTCCTACGTAGGAGATAGTATGTCCTAGGTAGGAGATACTAAGTCCTACGTAGGAGATACTAAGTACTATGTAGGAGATATTAAGTCCTACGTAGGAGATAATAAGTCCTACGTAGGAGATAGTATGTCCTACGTAGGAGATACTAAGTCCTACGTAGGAGATACTACGTCCTACGTAGGAGATAGTATGTCCTACGTAGGAGATAGTATGTCCTACGTAGTCCTACGTAGGAGATAGTATGTCCTACGTAGGAGATATTAAGTCCTACATCGGAGATAGTGACCCCCAAAACATTTTTCACCGTGGCCCTGCTACGCTTCCGTAAGAAACAAAGCAGAAATTCACTCTAATGTTTATTTGTCAATTTGCTTGTTGTTTTGGTTGTGTGTTTTCTGAAGCTGTAGCTGAATAGTGAAGAAAGAATCTCAAAGTGAAAAGATTTACAGAAAGCTATCGTGACACCAAGTTATAAGAAACGTTGTTATAACGTTGTGAGGAACCCTAAGCATGACGTTTGCAAAGTTGCTATTACGTTGTGACATGACGTTATAAAAATCACGTGATACTAACGTTGTGACAACGTTGTGTCATGCCGTTACCAAAGTGCAACCTTAACACAACGTGGCGAAAACCTTGCGCGTTAGGTGGGTTATACGTATAACCTTAAGGAGTGTGGTGCACTGATGCTGGGAGAACATACAAGGGAGGTAACTGTACGGCAACCTAGATCCTGACATTTTGTAGGTGTAAGTGTAAATCGTATTATCTGGACTCACGATGGACTCATGGTGAGCTCAACATGTTGTGTGCATGTGCTGTGTGTGTGTGTGTGAGAGAGAGAGAGAGAGAGAGAGAGAGAGAGAGAGAGAGAGAGAGAGAGAGAGAGAGAGAGAGAGAGAGAGATACAGAGAGAGACAGAGACAGTGACAGAGACAAATAAAAAGACAGAGAGAGAAAAATGTAAGTGAGTGAAATGGTGGCACGCCTCTTTCGGCAGGGGTCACCAGAAATGAGCTTCCCAGACTGTACCCCTCTGGGAAATCGAACCCGGGTCGTAGGAGTGACGAGCGAAGGCTTTAACTACTAGACTACACCGCCGCAGAACCATATGGGGTGTGAATTCGTCAGTACGTATTCAGACAAATGTCATTGGCGTTGAACAAAGTCTTACGTGTACACAATACTGGACTTACACTGGCATATAATAGAAGCACGATCCCAAGACTATTGTTTGTCACAATATCTAGGTTTACAGATCAGCATGATAACACCAGATGTTGATCGACGAATCGGAGATATGTCTTTACGCTCTTTCAGGTGGTAAGGCCTTCTGAAAGAGGTTCAGATACTTGTCTGACCCATCACAGACATCCATCCTAGTGTAATATAATAGAGAGATTTTGAAATCCCTCAGGCAAATGTGATAGGATCTATCAATTTCATCAGAGTATATGGTATTTATGTCATAAGAACGAAGGCCATCGTCCCAAATTCACAACATACTGTACAAATCGTGGTGAGCCAAAAACATATATTGCGTATTCGAAAATGGTATAGGATGTAGGTTTTAAGGATTAATCATGTCTCGTTTCTTGGGAAGGAGTGTTGTGATGAGTATTATCGTTTGAAAGAGGTTATTTTTTTTCAAAACAAACAGCAATATGTTTCACTAATCCACTAATGTTTCTTACCATCTTAATTATACAGAAATACAGAGTTATCGTTCTTGTTTCAAGTAGTTCTGATGTTCATACGCCAATATAAATCCTTCCATAGGAGCACAAGTCGATTTTCGGCGTCACGAGTTGGTATAACCAAATGTTGCCAACAGTTCCTTTTAACCAAACTCTCACACATCATACCACCACAACAACAACGAGTCTATATCTTTATTAGTTCTGTCATACAAGTACGTTAATACTAAGGAGTAAGAAGACCTGAAACATACATATATTGTTGCCATTAATGGTGTGGATATTTGACATAATTATAAAACTGAAGCTACTCGAGTTCGTGTTATCGAATATGTACATGGAATCATGGATCATGGATCATTTGTGATTAATTGGAATATATTTCTTTGACTACGAACATGAAGATGAAGAAAAGGTTATTAACTAAGAAATCATTTTCGTATCTAAACAGATAACAGAAAATTAACGCTTGAAAGACGCTTTCTATAGTGCAAGTGCAACGGTTATTACCCTCTAATCTGACTTCTTTCAAATTATCCATGGTAACAGTTAAACCAGTTTGTACACCAACAGTAGCGAGTCTGATAGCTCGTAGCAGAGCAGCCACAGGTCGTACGGGAACGTGTTCTTCTCTGTCTGTAGTAGATGCATCGTCCCCAGGAGGTCCAACGGGTATAGGTAGGGAGCTCTTGCCAGAGCCTGAGGTTAATTTCAGGCAGAGAACCGCATTGGACCCTGGAAAAGTTGACAGTACTGAAAGCATTAGTATAGCTTATAACTTATAAAGATATGGGTTAGAATAGATCTTCAGCAACCTATGCGTGTATAAGAGGCGAATAATGGGATCGGGTGGTCAGGCTCGCTGACTTATTTGACACATGTCATTGTTTCCCATTCACGTAGATCGATGCTCATTCTCTTGATCACTGAGTGCGGCGTTAAACAACAATCAGCCAACTAACCAACCAATCGTAAACACAGGCTTTTGGTATATGGACTCCATATGAACTGCTTTGTCTCATGAGATGTATCATGATTATATGAAAATGGTTGTCACTTGTCTTTCAGCATTTCACAACGGAATTTCACTGGCTTAATGTGTTTTAAGCTCGCCTTTTCGGGAACATCAAGCATCGTCATTATAGCTATATGATAGTGATTCATACACACATGCCTTTAACATAGTGGTATTCGTCCAATTAACTTCATTCAGCTTCTCACTTATGGTTATTAACGGGTTCTGTCGTTTTAACACAATAAACTGTTTCTATTATGGACATGGACGGTTAAAGAAGTAATAGAGTGCTGTACATTTGGACGCTTTCAAGATAATAATCACATTGTTTTACCTCCTTATGACATTTTTGTTTTCATAAGAAAAAATGTCGAGAAGTGCTTACGGACAACCCTTGATGAAAGCGTTTTGCTGAATCTTGAAGGTGTCGGTATTGTCACACACTACCCTCGACAGACTGGCTTTCCGGATTTCCCTCAGTTGATCTGATAATAAATCATAAAACGTCCATAACACGTCCATGGGAAATATTCGATTATAACCGACTTATTAATTCACAATGATGATACAAAACCGTGATGTGACCGTCAAAATAGCGTGTAGGGCTAACATGCCGGATTGTTTTACTCTGTTTAGGGATGATTTACAAGCATATATGCATTCTATGTCTGTAGCATTTTGATGTAAACCTAATCCTAAAAGTACCCACGGTGCCATGATTTGTTCTGTGGGTATTTCCTGTGTACTTGTAAAATTAAGGGATTAAGATATATTACTCCACATATTTGCTAAAATTAACGAGATAGCACCTTGGCAAAGCCATACGCTATAATTCAAAGCATCACGGTTTACGTGTATATCTTTTTAGGAAGGACTTCAGTATATCTTCAGCTGTTCCAGGTTATTTAATGTGCTTAAAACGTACCCTTGCTACTCCAAAATTCGTATTTGTTCCAAATACATCGCATTATTTATGTTTACGTACAAGGAGTGAATTTAACATTGGCGTTGTTTTCTTCAAACCAGAATCGGTCTCCTTTCTTCAGTGCCTGGAACTGTTTCCCCAGGAGGCAGGTAAATGTGGGTCCCAGAAGTCCCCCTGCAACAGGTGTCTCCGACAGAGCCCCAGGAAACAGGTCGATGTCGTCGACGTCACTGAAAAAACATACAAATATTGATCGGTGTGATCCAATATATGTGTCATTGGACGCTAAGATCTGTAGGAAAACGCTTTTGACTTCCTTTGAAAATGTTCTGCTCAATAGACATCAGGTATACAAGTGAAGTGACAGAACTATTGAATGTCGTTGTGATTTATACAAGTTTGGTAAACGGCACTCGATAAGCCAAGGTGGCACACACGCACATGCACACGCACACGCGCACGCACCGAACTACATGAAACAAACCGTACAAAAGTCTGATTTTTCTCTTAACTGATAATCGATATAGAAAGTGGCTTTTGGGATCTACTATTGTCTAATTGTTTTTAAGGCTTATCCATCTGAAAAGAACTCACCTGTAAACTATCTTCAGTAAGTTTGTCGCAGTTATTGTGTGAGTGGTAGTGGAGAGGTCAGAGATGGATGCAGCTTTTGGAACATTACAAAACTCCCTCCACTTGGTGTAAGACGGGAGCCCGTGGTCTCTTCCTCTCTGGATGTTGAGAGCTGCCAAGTCCATACTATTTCCATGGCTGTCAACAAACAACCTGTCCGTAACCTCCTGTGTCAGTTTGCGATCTACAGTCTGGACACTGTCCTTAACCAGTCCTCTGCAGTAATGACCAACCTTCCTGTTGTTGACGTTCAGGATTAGATTCGTGTCACCGAAGATCTCGCTTAGTCTGTCCTTCCCGAGAAAATTATGTGAAGAACTGAAGCTGGAGAAGTTGCTGTGGATCATGGAGTGTCCCATCCTGAAAGCCGCAGTAGCGAAGGCGTTCCTGATGCTGGGGTCTATCGATGTGCTGTAGACGTAGGCGTAAGCAGTCCAAGATCCAATTCGTAAGCCATACTTGTCCATAGCTTGCTCACCCAAAATGATAGGCAAGTACTCATCGTACGTGATCTTCTGAAATCCCAATTAAATTGATACACTTTCAATATACACAGTATATTTAGTGTCACACGTGGTGCAAATTCGAGTCAATGGTCATTTTCGCAATACCCACGGAAACGGCCATAATGCATAAGCAAAAATCGAAACGAAGGTGGGATTCCTACCTCAACTCTACAAATCGGTATTTGAATTAGATCATTATGCCATTTTGTTAATTGATCTAAGTTAAAGAAGGATGTTGGCGGCGTTAAAGAAGCTAAATCTAGAAAAAGGTAATATTCGCACCTGCATGATAGCTCCAACTATCCTTCTGGTTTCCTGGAAAGTTTTCTCATCACTCCAATCGCAGTTCAGCTCTTGCAGTTTCTTAGCTATACGGTTGTGTTCTCTCACAAAGATGGTGTGCATGCTCTGAAGGGTTGGGTTTTCATTCACTCGATGATCACCTTGAGATACAAAAATATAAGTTTACTGAGGTTCCAAAAGTATTATGTTTCTGTTGCTTAATTTGTCCTTTTGTTGGTACAAATAATTCAAAGAATGGAAAAACATTGTTTTCTCTGGACCTTTGACAGTGATTTATAAAAGTTTGGCAAACGACACTCGATAAGCCAAAGAGGCAAACACACGCCCGCCCAGATGTGTGACCCGTACGCCGCTAAGGTTATGAAGTTTACAGGAATCGCATTCGTTCATCTGGATCGATTGCTGGTATGTTGTCCTTAGTTACCTGCAATTACCTTCTCATTACAGACTTTGAAACTTTGACCATATTGCCACTTCAGGCTGATTCCTGTCAGTGTCGAGCATTTCAGTAGGTTAGTTCATAGACAAGTGATGAAAGAAAGCAAATAATTCACAACAGTATGACAAGCGAAATTAACAAGATTGACATAAAAATAGAACGCACCACAGACACCGTCGCTGAAATTGCCCAAATAACCCTACGCACGTATTTTTGTTTATTTTCTGTCTACAGTTTCGAAAACATAAAGCCTCTGACGCGTTTGTCGTCAACACTTATCTCCTTTCTAATAACCGTTATATTGTTCATGATCACACAATTTTGAAGCATATATTATCTACATTAACTGCAGGTATTTAACTCAAACGGCTGTGAAGCGGTGATAAATGTTGGTCCACCAGGGCTGAGCGTTTAACCGCGATGTGCCGTGTGTTTCGGTACCCTTACTGTCTCGACTTTTTTCGTTGCCTGATCGACCGGTCTCCCCTCCGGTAGTTTCAATTTAAGCCATTCGAAATGGTGATTTTTGATTGGATATAGGGCCCATAAGTAGGTCATGGAATTAGCGAGACCTTAATACTTCCGGTGACAAACAACGTTTCATACCTTTACGAATGGTCCCATGTCTGTCAGTTGACAGTAAGGAACCGATAATCAATGCAGGAATAATAAATTTCCGATCTAAGCATCCCCAATTTAGCCAGCTAGCACGTGTGTCAACAGCTGTGACAGTCAAGCATGGTTGTACATTTGGTGCAGTCAAGTAAAGTCATATTTGGCAGTCACGCAATTTGGAACCAGAACTGTTTTTTTTAATATGCTAGTACGCTTGTCACCGGAAATCTGGTACCGCAAGTAAGCTGCGGCCCGTCTCGCATATCGAAAGTTGGCGCGCGCAAAATAAACCGGGAACCAGCGTAGTACCGGAAGTAGCGCCTGACGAGACTTAAAGGCACTATCACGTTCACAAGGGGCACAACTCGTACCTTTGATGGAGACAGAAGCTAGTAAAGAAGTTACACACTCTACTAACCTGCCAGGAAACAGTAGCTAGGGCTGTTTGGTGTGGTACAGCTAGGTTGCGAATCTTCAGGCAAATGAGAACATCTCATCTTTAGCTGACCTGCAACAAGGCACCATGTATTTGTATCAAAAACTGCATTTTATGACCAAAAGCAATTAGTTCATTTCCTGTTTCAATGTACAGACTGAATATTACCTTAAATACCATTTTCAAAATTGGTACTCACGTCGATAAGTATGTTGTTACGAGCAACATCACTGATTTTCAGTAACCCTACATATAATAATACATGCAATTTAGGCAGATATCCGAGACTGATTTTATCTCTTGGCGTTCAGCATCAACCAGAAACAATTTTTGGTCGGACTCATTGAAGATTGGTTGTTGGCCAGCTAAGGACATATTGTCTTAATGGTTTCGAATTTTCAAATTACTTCATTTTACTGCCTTCTCTGAAATATAAGTCACCTCAACCACTACTAATGACGTAGTGTCGGGCTGTACGTAACTTCGTCAACAGATATTAGATATGACCTGACGAAAATTTGTGTGATCCAAAAATCCTCTTCCATTTTTACCCATTTCAACCAGCGAAGGATTGCTACTTTGACATAGATATAGAAATAGAGTTGGGATTTTTTTTCTTCAAATACAATGTTTACGTTCATTATCAACGAAAGCTTGATTAATGACTATGTAAAAAATGAGTCATCTTTTACGGGGATTGGGTTAACTAATTATTCTCCCTCCTGAAATACCGTTTTCAAAAGTTCGTAGTGTGTTTTGTTCCTCTTGTGACGACCCGTACACCTGCGAGGCATCTATGAAGGCTGTAATCTGGTTCAGCTGTTCCACGGGAACTGGAACAAGCAGACAATGACGTTGGAATATTGAGTGTGTGTCGTTGTGCTGCTCGATCATAAGATCATGGGTCCCTGTCTCTGACTAACGCTGATTATGATAGGTTTGTCGGGACTGTTTGTATGCTCGCGAAGTCGCCGTAATAGTACACATGTGAGATTTTCTTCGGACTGACATACAGGAAACAATGTTCAAAGAGGTATAAACTCCAAATCAATCAGCCACGGCATTACACATGGCATGATATATTGCATGTGCACATTATCGCCTGTGGACTGAATGAACCAGTAAATTATTATTGCTAACCCATGCATGCGTAAACTGAGCACTACCTGGACAAAATCGAGTGCGTGGATTTGAAGAACATTTTAGCAGCTGAAAATTGAATCAGGGTACAAGCTTTCCTGGTTCGGCATTAACCCGCTTGAGAGAAACGATGTTGACAGAGTACTAACAGACTCATGGCAATTATGTACGATATCTGTGGAGTTTTTGGCAGCACGTGCGCAATGTTTTAGATTTGTTAATCATAAATCAAAGCACCAAGCCTGTATATGTTTGTACCTCAGTTCATATAACGTTACAACCTTACATCCTAACAATTGTGTGCCACTGATGACATTAGCTGCTTGTTTGTGTCACTGATGGCATTACCTGTCTTATTGTATCATTGATGATATTACCTGCTTGTGTGCCATTTATGATATTACCTGCTTGTGTGCCATTGATGATTTTACCTGCTTGTGTGTGTCACTGATGACATCACCAGCTTGTTTGTCACTTATGGAATTACCTGCTTATGTATATCATTGATGATATTTTATGCTTGTGTGTCATTGATCATATTACCTGCTTGTGTGTCATTGATAATATTACTTGCGTTGGTATGTCACTAATGGCATTACCTGTTTGCTTGTGTCACTGATAATATTACCTGTTTGTGTGTGTCACTGATAATATTACCGCTTGTGTCTCACTGATGGCATTTCCTGCTTGTGTGTGTCTATGATGATATTACCTACTTGTGTGTGTCATTGATGATATTACCTGCTTCACACTCAGAGTTCTCTATTTGAACTGAACGCACGAAGTTCATACAGGTGGTTTCATTGAAGCGTCTGTCGGGTTGCGGGATGATGATGGGGAAGCACTGAGGCCTGAAAGGACGAATACTGAGCGTTACAACATAACACAGGATGAATGTGGGTGATTTTGATTTGTTTGTTGAAGAATCATGACGGATCCTTGGAACTGCTTATTCGGCTTACATCTGAAGATAATATCACTAGAAATGACTATTGAATAGGATACGCCTAAATACGTAACTTGACATTATGACACTGAATTCATTTATTAGGTAAATTCAGTCTTACAATAGTTCTAAAACATGACATATGTGGATTCATGTTTGGCTTAAAATCCAGTTTTCCTTACGAGGCTCGGACGCTTGTTTAAAATGGTATACACGTTAATGGTCATATTATTACTATAATCAGAATTCTGTATAAATCCTTTGTACATGAACTCGAAATATATCTTTGTCCTTACGACCGATCACAGCATGTGTGGCAATCTCGAGAACGTTTTGAACACAGTACAAAGTACACAGCAAGTAAATACATGCTTGGTTGCTACATTTTATAGTCCTCGTCGCCATCTTCTGGGTCTTATTTTCCCTGACGGTGTGATAGCCCTGTGGTTAAAGAAGTCGAAGACCAGGGTCCAATTCCCCTGCTTGGGTACATTTTGTAAAGCCCTTTTCTGGTGTCACCCACCGTGATATGGCTGGAATTTTGCTAAAAGGGGCATACAACTAAATTCACTCACTTACTTTTTCCGAACATCTGCTCACCTCGTAAAATACAATTTGCTATTATACAACAGCACTTTGTGACGTAATCGTGGATCAACAAGGCCTAAAGTAGCATATGGAGAGTTAGTATATAGCGTCAGAGCAAAGAATATCCACAGGAACACATTCCGTGAAGGGTAAATATAGGCTTAGAAACTGTATGGATTATCTGATAATCGAGGTAATGACTTAGGCCCTGGATATATGTAATTGACCCACCTTTTGGGGAGAGATGGACGTGCAGATACGCGTCTTTTGTGTCTAGGAACATAACAACACCCAATAGAATCGCCATACGGACCTGTAACGAAAACAATTTTGTTGAAAGTGAGTGAGTGAGTGAGTTTAGTTTTACGCCGCACTCAGCAATATTCCAGCTATGTGGTGCCGGTTTGTAAATAATCGAGTCTGGACCAGACAATCCAGTGATCTGTGCAACTGGCAACCGATGACATGTGTCAACCAAGTCAGCGAGCCTGACCACCCGATCACTTTAGTCGCCTCTTACGACAAGCATGGGTTACTGAAGATCAATACTCTAACCCAGACCTTCACGGGTATTTCTTGAAAGTAGCAACTGTACAGTGGACAATAAAACCATGATTATGTAAATAACTATCCGTGTACATGAGCTTCTGGGTGTCAGAGTAATACATTTCCCAAGGCTTGGCCAACAACGGAGAGGCGTATGTTACAGGATTTTATTGTCTTTATATCATTATTACCGGGAGTGTTTGAAGGCTGTGTTCCTGGCAGCAAACTGGGTACTCTCCCAATATCAGTCAAGGGATTGGGAGGTATACAAACCTAAGACACCAAGAACAATGGTGTGTCGGTCAGCTTGGTACTTGGGATGCAAGCACGACATTTAACAAGCGACTCCGTATTTTTTGTATTTTTTTTATATGAAAAGAGACAAGGTCAAGTTTGTTGGCTTGGATCTGCCTCAGGATTTGTATGGGCCTTTCTCAAAGAATTTTATAACTGTCATTTTCCATATTTAGGGTCGTACCATGGATGGACCTCTACGTGAAAAACGCCCCTGCACAATGAAGACGAATGAGCCACAGAGCTTAAGATACTGTGTTTGTGCCAATTTTCGCTTATGCGAGGAAAATGCTCCGCAAACAGAAAATTTTCTGTTGCACTTTTCAGGCCAACCGACTCCACTCACGCGAAAGACAGCACATATGCTCTTCTCCTAAACACACCATATATAACCTCGCGACATTCATTTCTGTACACCAGCAGCACTGAACCATCAACAAAATCAATATTGACATTGAAATTCTATCCAATATCCTTGGCTCGTTTGCATCAGGATTTTTACATGTTTCAAAAGAGGAGCATCGAACACATAATGTTTCAAAAAAATTCACAATATTATATCAGGAACAGCATCCACATTAATCAAGCCACCCTCCCTCACTTTTTATTGATAAAAATGTAGTTGCGACTTTGACGTTATTGCGAGCGTTCAGCTCGGAACACCAGATTTTTTAACCTACATGTGTATTCTTCGCAATGTTTGTCCTTTATATGAGCATTCTGGAGTTTGTCCTTAACAGAAGTTCGTTTTCACCTAACCAACAACGAGATAGTCAACAACTCCACCCCAAAGTAAGTAAGACTGATGGAGAATGTTTCATTTGTCGAGCACTAAGGAATATGGACTTTTCAGTGTGGAATCTCCCTTGAAAATACGTTCAAGACCATTAATGTAAAGAAGGTAAGAAAGTGGTGTTAGGGATCTGTGCTGAGGAAGTACCCGGTGATAATATTTTTCTTTCTTAACAAAAAGCTTAATCGATTGAATGACAAACTGTAAAGCAAAGGACAAAGAGAATCGCCCTAAAATTCCCTTCTAATAGAAATGGGTAATATCAGAAATATTTTTCCAGAACTCTATCACAGTTACCTGCTTGCTGTACGGGTGTACTGGTGATGTCGTGATCCAGGAACTGACCCCACTGCATCAACATGTGGCTGAATTTGGCGTGCAGGTCAGCGTTTGTTGATTCTGTGTGGATAGTTCTGCTGACCAGTCGGGCGCTGGGTAATTCTGATAACCCCCCATCATCGGTGGCTCTTTCTCGTGGGGAGGAGATACCTAAAACAGGAACAGGATGATAAGTGATAAATTACATGACTTCCCAAGTTAATGTTCTACAAGATAAACTTGGTTCGCGGCACACCTGGATGGTGAATTTACTTTTGTTAAGAATTCAAGACCGTCAAAAAGTATTACAACAAAAATCATATCACATTTTTTAATATGATCATATATATATATGGATCGAATAGAATGGGAATGATAATAGCTACTCTGAATAACATTTCAATTAAATCACGGGGGAGAGGGAGTGTCAGTTTGATGCTGGAATACAGTAGAAGTTGATGCATGTCCTTTACGTCTACCACTTCCATGAAACTTGACAAAGGTGCACGTCATTAGCGTGACGAGCCAACGCTTTAACCACTTGGCTACCCAACTGCCACATACAGACCTAGAGATGATATTGGGGGTAAAAATGGGATTCAAACACACAGTTATTTCTGGCATGACAAAGGGTCGCACCTTTGCACAAGGTATCACGGCGCGTAGACGAGAGTCTCGACCCAATGTATACTCGAAAAGGATTTATAATGTAAATACATTAACCGTCATCATAAGCGGGGTTCAACCAGCGTCTCATTGGAATGGATGCCATGCCCCATCGTGTGTGGTCGAAGTTGTTGCAGGAACCGTCAGCTGTCCTGTACTTGGCGGACGTGTTACATGGAAGTTTAGAATGGCACTGGAACTCCGACACGAAACTACTCCTCAGCATCGGGAGAATAGCCGCTGGTGATGATGCATTCACCCTGCATTAGTAAACCATGCAAACATTCAGTTCAACGTACAGATGTGACATTACGCTGCCTAAATATTGTTTATCACTGATTATTAACGGGTGTGTAAACCTTGGTAGAATCACGGAGCAGGAGTATTGCTTAAGTTTAGACGCTCCAAAGACCAGAATTATAATATGGGATTTGAAATTCAGTCGCCGTATCCTGGCGGCCGCCTTAGCAACAAGGCCAAAAAAAACACTCGCAAATTCCAAACACATCATTAAAGCACAGTTGTGGTGCTGTGATGGTACATCGTTTGAACAAAGACGTTAATCGTCCTCATGAATTGCTCTTCTGAAATGAGTTACTGTGTCATAATTTGTGAAGTGATAACTATAGTTAAAATATGTTGGTTATGAAACATTTATCTGAGAAACTTATTTCAAAACGTAAAAACATTTAACAATTGAGAACATATGTTCAATTATATACATGTAACAATTTCATCATTTTCTGACCTATTATATCAAAGTTTACGAGTAGTCAAAAATCACCGATCATCTCAGTTTAATGGCACATAGATCATGATAGCAAGTATAAATGGCACGTATCTACTCATTTCATAGCTTCATGGCACGAGAAATCCCAGCTTCATGGCACGTAGCTAATGATATCTCAGCCTGGTGGCACGTAGCTAATAACATCCCAGTTTCATGGCACCTAGCTAATGACATTCCAGTTTCATGGCACGTAGCTAATGACATTCCAGTTTCATGGCACGTAGCTAATGACATACCAGTTTCATGGCACGTAGCTAATGGCATTCAGTTTCATTGCACGTAGCTAATCACATCCTAGTTTCATGGCACGTAGCTAGTGACATACCAGTTTCATGGCACGTAGCTAATGACATCCCAGTTTCATGGCACGTAGCTAATGGCATCCCAGCTTGATGACATGTAGCTGAAGATATCCAAGCTGATCAATGGCATGTACGTACGTACGTACGTACCTACCTACCTACCTACCTACCATACCTACCTACCTACATACATACCTACATACATACATACATACATACATACATACATACATACATACATACATACATACATACATACATACATACATACATACATACATACATACATACATACATACATACTTACATATAGTATGACCAGAAATTATTGAGAATTTTAGGAATATGTTTAATTGGATTTCTAGTATAAACAACCTTGACCAGCTATCAAGTGTTTGGTTTCATTCAAGAGAGACAACTCCGCTAATCCTTTTTCATTAGTTTGGGAAGAGTTATCCCCCTTTGTTTACTTGCTAGCAGACGACATTTTCAGTGATCCTCAGTATGGATGATTTAGAGAAGAGGAAGTTGATTTTAGAGAATTATATCAAGGACATCAGATCAGCTAAAGTGATTTCAAGTAGAACAGGCTTCCCTTTGTCCACTTTTTATCGTGCTTTGAAAAATATTGCAAATGGATATGGCATTGAGCACCAGGGAGGCGCAGGTAGGACCAGAAAATTGACTGTCGGTGACAGGAGGCGGCTTGGTATTCTTGTTTCTAACAACAAACGAAGGAGTTTAGAAAACCTAAGGCTGGATATGATTGATAGAGGAACTGTGGCTGTCTGTAAGGAGACAATTAGAACTGAGCTGCATGCAATGGGTTGGCAGAAAAGTCGAGGAATTCCATCACCGATCATGAAACCTGAACAAAAGGAGCGAAGGTTGAACTGGTGCTTACAGCATAGAAATTTTAACTGGGACAATGTGATTTTCTCAGATGAAAGTTTTGTGTGGCTGTTTCCTAATAAACTGAAATTCTGGACCAAACAAACTGAAAAACCTTTGTATCAGCGCCCAAAGTACAGTCCGACATTTAACGTGTGGGATGGCATATCTGTGTTAGGGGCAACGCCCCTCTTTGTATTTGAAGGGAATATGAACAGTGAGCGGTACACAGATATTCTCGAGGGACATTTACTTCCATCTCCTCACGTGTTCTATGGAAATGTTTGGATTTTCCAGCAGGACAACGACCCAAAACATCGTTCAAAGCATTCACAGGCCTGGTTTCGGACCCAAAATATGACATTATTAGATTGGCCAAGCTATAGCCCTGACCTAAATCCAATCGAAAATGTTTGGGGACTTATGAAGGAAAGTGTCAATAAGAAAAATCTGACAAATATTGCTGAAATGAAAGAAGAGGTGGTCCGATATTGGGACAGCATGGACCACGACTTTCTAACTTCTTTGATCAGTAGTATGCCCCGCCGCATTGAAGTCTGCATTGCTGCCCATGGTGACTTGACAAAATACTAACTGTTCACCTGTCTTTGAATCTGAAGTTATGTTCTGCTAATATTCACATTCAATACGGGAGTAATGAGTGAAAACAATAAAAAATTTACAATCTTTAAATTCTCAATAATTTCTGGTTGTACTGTACATACATACATACATACATACATACATACATACATACATACATACATACATACATACATACATACATACATACATACATACATACATACATACATACATACATACATACATACATACATACACTTACATACTTACATACATACAAACGTATTATACCGATCGAAGCGTCTCATCGTGCCTTTAAATGTAGCTATCCTAACTTTTGACTATGATACTAAATATTTAAATGGGTCTTAAATTAATAATTCAATTCTGACTTATGCTCACACTTCCATCAACTGTGTAGCTTGGAGGACATGGATGCGATGGTTGTTCCCCTTTGCAATGCTCTGAGGTGATGAGAATGTG